ATTTTTTAGGACCTGTGGTTTTATAGTTTCATGTGTTTTTATGCTGGTAGATACATATATATGTTTTGACTCTGTATTTGGAACTCTCTTGGGCATTTCCTTTTCTAAAACATGTAAGAGTATAAATTATTAGGTTACATTGTTTGCATTTGTTAAAGTCCAGGGTGAGAACCTTGAACATTTCTTGTGATCTAGTGGTGACAAATTCTCTCTCCATTTGCTTGTTTGGGAAAGACTTTATTTCCACCTTCATTTATGAACTTTATGAAGAAAATATGTGGTTGACAGTTCGTCCCTTGGAGACTATTGCCAGTGGGATCCCAATCTCTCCTGGCTTATCATGCTTCTGCTGAGCAGTCTGTTGTCAATATGATAAGCTTTCGTTTGTAGGTCATTAGACACTTCTGTCTTGCTGCTTTTAATTTTTTTTTCTCCTTAACAATGACTTTAGATTGTCTAGTGATGGGCCTTGGTACATAGACTTGTTTTGCAACTCATGTCCCTGGTGTTCACTGAACCTTTCCTATCTGGATTCTGAGTCTCTTGCAAGACCAGAAAAGTTTTCTTCCATTATTCCCTCAAATAGGTTTTCCTTGCTTTTTACTTTTACTTCTTCTCTCTCAGGAAAGCCTATGAGTTCTATGGTTTTACTTCATCCTGTATTTCTTGAAGACATCTGCGGAATATTTTTAAAGAAAGCGATGTTTTTTGACCATAGTATTTCATTGACTAAGACTTGAAATTGATAGAATTCTACTTGTAATTCAAACAAGTGTTGGTGCCCTTCTCCTTTACTATACTTTTTTTCTTATCTATTAGCTGATGATCACTGATATCCTCATCTCCTATGCCACATCTGGAATATTGCATTGTTAAAGGTTTATTATGCTATGAGCACTCTGATCTTGCTCCCATGCTTTTGGGAGCTGACTCAGTTAGTGCTTTACTGTGTCAGAGTCCTAAGGGGGTGCTGAATTAATAGTGGATGTACAAAATGAATCAAGCATGTTAAGAATAATTTTCTATCGTCAGAAGTATAAAGCAGCTGGGTCATGGTTGCTCTCTGGTCAGTGGAGCAAGGCAGTGCCAGGGGTCATTGGGGAGCAAGCTCTGGGTGCTGTGCACAGCAGGAGCATTTGTTAACAAATATATAGTGAGGTGGTGGATCAGAAATAAGCAGTAGATATCATACATACAGAGATGGCAGCCCTCAAGGTGGATGTGATACCCTCCCACCTCTGTAATTGTTCCATAGAGACTCTTGGCACAGTTTGTGCTAATGCTCAACAGCCCCGGGTGAGGCTGGGACACATGACAGTCCTAGTGAAGTCATCAGCATTTGCTGTGGTGGGGTCTTTTACCCACTGGTGCACCTGTTCTTGCTACCTCAAACCCCATCACATTTTGAGGGCCAACTCCCACTCCTCCTTAATGCCCCAATACCTTCCTACTGCAGCTGACCCTAGCAAGACCCTAGGTTCTTGCTTCATTGGGGGCATCATATTTTCCTCCAGCCCAACAACCTGCTTTAGTGTGGGGACTACAAGGCATTTCTCAAGCAAAACAAAGAGCCCTCTCTTCCGCCTGCTGCTACTGCAGCCTCACGGTAGCTTCATGGCTGACATCAGAAAAACAAGTCAGATGTAGGCTGGCTTCCATATCTCCTGCCTCACCATTTCCCCTTCTTCTTAGGATCAGAGTTGGCATACTTCTGCTTACAATGCTGGCATGAAGGCAACAACAAGAACAACAATAGAGACCAAATAACTCGTGTTCCCAAGCTCTCCAGCACTAGTTTTTTTCTACCATAACATCCTTCTCTCTTTACACCTATCTCCCTATATATTTTTCCTTTTCTTTTGCTGTTCTGGACTGACTCAGTTAGCACTCCATGAGGACACTCAGAGAAGAGACACAAAGGATGCTAGTGCACAGTGATGCTTACTTGTTAGCACAGTGATTGATCTGGATGGCTTGGTCACCACATTTCCATTGACCACTACCAGAGTGATTATGTAATAAAGGCCATGATAATTGGCCTTAAAGATAACAGGAGGAGGCAAAGTGCTGTTGAATTCCTCAAATTCGAAGAAATAATTTTTGGATTCACCAGTTATCTTCACAACATACACAGATGCTGGACTGATGACATCCGAAGCTTCTAAGGAGACGACGATGTTGTTATCATCTTGGACAGTTACATGAAAAGGTGCAGCATTCTGTGTCAGAGAAAAAAAGGAGAGCGAGGTGAGATTCAGATTATAGGCAATAAAGTTACATGGAGATAAGTTTTCTAAGACTAATGCTTGTGATAAGCATTATTCCTTAAAATAGAGTTACAATGGCATTTAGTTATACAAGGAAAACCAAAAGTAGAGAGTTGATCCCTCTTGTGACTTATTAAGGTTTGGCTTTGAGGATTTTTCTACACTGAAAATCTGCTTCCAGTTCACGGATTGAGTCCTTTATAAACACAAAGCAAACATCACGGGAAGGAGTACATGATGAATGAGAGTCATTTGGACACTCACGTTCCAAGGAAATCCTTGGTGTCAGCTATGCTGGAGAAGTTACGTAGTTTGTAGAAATATTCTCTTTATAATACTTTAGAGAAAGTGATGCTATGGCCGTCCTAGGAAAATTCTAGGAGAAGGTATTAGGGCAGCTATTTCCTCTCTCCCTTCTGACCTGTTAGTTCTAAAAATAAAAAAGGTCAGGCCTATGATCATCCTCGTCATTAAAATAGCTTCATAAAGAAACTCTGGCAGTGGAGAAAGGACCAGACAGAAGATCTGTGGGCAGCAATGAGAAGGTCAGTAGCTGGTAGACTACAAATTCTGCTCCAAATCTCCAAATAAATGTTTATGAGTAATGTTTGAAAAATCCTTTGTTTAGTGGTTTTAAATATTTTTTTTCCTGATTCTCAGACTCCATGGGCAGAATTAATCCTCTCTGGTTTCACAGAGGACTCCTGTACCTGCTTGTTTTTAATTTGCCTTCTGGGCATGCAGTACCCCGGACAAGTAAGTTATTTCATGCCCTGAGCCTCATATTCATCTTCCATAATAATGGGTAGAAAAATCATTGAAATGTGTTAAGGATCTACACGGATCCTGGTGCTCTCGTGTTAGGTGCATATATATTTAGGGATCATGGCTTACTGTTGAAGTGATTGTTTTATCATTATATAATGGCCTTCTTTGTCTTTTTTTTTTT